TCCCCCGTTCTACTCATGGTAGTGGTCGTGGAAAATTGGCCCATCATCCTAGATGGGGTCCGAGCAGATGGGGTCGGAGGATCGCGAGGATCGCGCCGCATCGCCGACGCATCGGCGATGCGGCTCTGTGCGGAGCCCGATTTTCGCGACGCCGATGGCGCCAATGCATTCGACGCCGTCGCCGATGCGTCGCCAGTGCATCGCCGATGCATCGTCGATGCATCGCCGAAGCATCGCCGATGTATCGGCGATGCGGCGCGATCCTCCGACCCCATCTACTCCCACCCCATCTAGGAGGCCTTTAGTTCCTGTTTGGAAAGGGACTCGTTGTCGGCGTCGCCGCGGACGTTGTCCATTCGAGACAGGACGGCCGCGTTCAACAGCGGCCGTTGGTGGTTTTGGACAACATCTGTTGTTGGGCATCGTACCCAGTTTTTCCGTGCAACTTTCGGGCGTCTAAACACACGCCTGGCTGCAGCGCAGCGCTTCCACGTAAAGCTCAGCGACAAATAGAATCGGGGTCGACTGCGCCGACACTGGCGCGTAAGCTGCCCGCGTAAGCTCGCGCGTGAACGCCTTCGCCTCCAGTGTAGCGTGCCGCACTGGCGGCCCGCGTAAGCCACCGCGTGAGGTCGCGACGCCATTTCGCTTAAGACCCATGTCTTTTCGGCGTTCAGCTGGCGAATGCACTGGGCCGATTGGGCCATTCGAGACCAGTGCCCCGAGACCCTGGCCTCACAATTTCGCAGGCTAAAATATTGGCGCCAACACCAATATCGACGGCGTGCATCCACCGAGGGAAGAAGATCCCGATCTCGGTGATGGTGGTAATATTCTGGCTTCCAAGGTGACCGAAATCTTACCACCAACGCCGAAATCGAGGATCATCTTCCCCCTGTGGAGGCCATCCCCTGTGTTGGTGTTGGTGCCCATTTCCAGGCCTCCAACACTGGGCCGATTGGGCCATTCGAGACCAGTGCCCCGAGACCCTGGCCTCACAATTCTTGCGAGCCGGGCGTCTCTTCGCCGGGTTTTTGGGGCCCCGGGGGCCCCCGCGGATCGGTCCGCTTCGAGGGTGCAGCAGGTCGATGGGATCTTCGGACGGGGCTAGGACGAGGAGAACGAAGGGGCCCCAGGACACACACACACACATAAATACACACAAATAAAAAGATTGCCTTTTTTTCCTTTATTTTTTGGGTTTTTGTCTTTCCCCCCACTTCCCATATTTTTGCATATTTTCCCTGGAGTCGACGTTTAATTGTGTCTGTGTGTTTCTTTCCCTCCTGAGAGAAGTTCGTTCCAGAGCGTCCCAGAACGCTTTCAGGGCGTTCTGGAGCGCTCCGAGAGGGCCGCGGCGCCCGATACATCCTCCAGAGCCGCCGAGCCTCAAGGATTTCCGATGCAGCGTCGCCCGATGAGCTTCTCGTCCTGGCCTCGTCTGCAGTCGTGATTCTCACGATGTTTTTTCTGTCTGCGCCGTTGGATCGCAGGGTACGGTCCTCCCTGGCGTTTTTCTAGATATTCGAGGCTTCCTAGATGTGGTCCGAGCAGATGGGGTCGGAGGATCGCGCCGCATCGACGATGCATCGGCGATGCGGCTCGATGCGGAGCCCGATTTTCGCGACGCCGATGGCGCCAATGCATTCGCCGACGTCGCCGATGCATCGCCAGTGCATCGCCGATGCATCGCCGAAGCATCGCCGATGTATCGGCGATGCGGCGCGATCCTCCGACCCCATCTAGTCTGATTCCATCTAGGAGGCCTCTAGTTTCTGTCAATCTGGAACAGGACTCGCTGTCGGCGTCGCCGTGGACGTCGTCCATTCGAGGCAGGAAGGCCTCGTCCAACAGCGGCCATTGTCGGTTTTGGACAACATTTGTTGTTGGGCATCGTGCCCAGTTTTTCCGTACCCCTTTCGAGTGTCCACACGCACGCCTGGCAGTTAGATGTTTTTTAGTCCTCCAGGAGGCCTCCCATTGCCGCGGTCGGATATCCGTGCCGACCACTGGGTCAGGCTGGGCCCTCTGGGAAGGGGCCCGACCTTCTCCAGGGGTGGGGGGGGGCTCTCACCGCCCACCAGACCACCCAGCCCTGCCCGAAGGCCCCGCTGTGCCCTCCATTTCCAGAGGGAAGGGCGGATCGGGGAACATTGATCATTTTTTTTTTTTTTTTTTGCGTCGGCGGTGCAGTTGGGGCAATTTGTGCCACCATGCATTGAACAAACATATGAAGCCCGTGCCCTCCCAACCCGAAAGGGGGGGCTCAATCCGAACTCCTTTTTGGGCGAGGGCGATGTTCTCGAGGGCGCGATATCCTCGAGGGCGATATTCTCGAAGGCCGCTCTTCCCCGATTCCGACATTCCCGGGGCGATGTTTTCGAGGGCGAGGCGAGTTGTATATTTTTATCGTTGTCCGCTCCCATCTCTTGCTCCGCAAAGAAGGATCCGAACTTCTTTATAGAAAGGAGATACCATGTGGTGCAATTAGTTTCTGTTCGCAGTGAGTCGTCAACCCTACTGCTCGCGCAATCACCCCACCCGCACAACTGCAACCTGGTTCGCAAAACCGTTGCGGCGGTGATTGCGGTGATTGCTTGGCGCTGGCTGGCGCATCGCTGCGGCCGCGCTAGCGCGCGCAGTCTCGCGCGCAGAGTGGCCAACTAGTATGGCGCGACCGACGTGGCCGCGGTGGCGCTCACCGCGGGGGATTTCCCAACGCGTCTCGCAGCCCGCGCTGCCGCGCGGGCACTTCAATGCGAGTCGGTGGCTCGGGCGGGCGCGGTATCATAGCGACGTCGGCAAAGGCCAACGCGATGATGATAGTAGCGATGTTGGTGACTACGATGACGACGACTGCGGCAAGGCCAATGACGGCGCCGATGCTGATCACGCCGGTGGCGATGATGGTATCCACGTGTCGGTGATGAGAATTTTGGGGGAGATGTCGACATGCGTGCGCGGAACGCGCGCGAGTGGCCCGCACGGTTTTCTTTGACGACGATCGTGGCCCCCGCAAGCGCGCGCACGGGCGTTCGAATGAATTCGAGACGCGCGCGCGAGCCCGCTTGGTCGCATATGATGGCGCAGTTAAACAATGCTTTTGGTTTTCAAGGGGGGACCGATCAAATGTGGGGGAGCTCCTTAACTAGCCCCCCGCCCCCCCGGCCATGAGGCCAGCGTGCGGCCATAACTTTCTTGGCATCAGTGATTTTGGATTCCTCGCCGGGGCTTTTTGTGGCGTTTCTTGGGTGCTTCTGGAGAGCCCCTGGGGGCTGCCGGGGCTCCTGGCAGCCTCCTGGGAGCATCTCGGGGGCCTTTTTGGAGCTTCTTGGGCTTTCTTGGGCACCACTTGGGGCCGACTTGGGTCACCCTTGGGGGCCTCGGGGGCAATCTTGGGGCCACCTGGGAGGAGGGGGCCACCACGTGGCCAAGACCGTATTCACATTAGCGGTCTGGGCCTCCTCGCCGAGGCCCCATTGGGGCAGCTTGGATGCTTCTGGAGGGGCCTTGTTAGGGGCGTCTTGGGGTCTCTTGGGGACCTCCCGGGTCTGCATCTTAAGGGCGTTTCGGGCTTTCGCGCCTCCAGGGCACCTCGTGGTGCCCTTTTTGCGGCACCCTTGCGGGCCTCGGGGGCTAATTTCTGGGCCATCTTGGAGGAGATCGATCAAAGCATGGCAGCTTCTCACTTGGGCCCCCCCCCAGGAGGCCAGCATGTGGCCAAAACCTTAGTAGTAATGGTTTCGGCCTTTTCGGCGAAACCATCTTGGACGCTCCAGTGCCTCGCGGAGCCCCCTGTCCAAGTCCAGGGGGAGGTGGTGGGTGGGATGGGGCCAAGGCGCCCTCCTCGCCTGCAGGCTCCCTCGCTCCCTTCCACCCGCCCTCCCAGCACCTAAATCGCACCCGTGCCCCAGCATGTTCAGCGACCGTCTATGGATGGGCAGCTACTGGAAGCCCAAACGGGTCCCGCGTGCGCGACGCTGGGGCGAGGCGCGCCACGCGTGCCAGGCGCGCTCCCCGTGCCAGGCGCGCCACAGGCACCCCTCGGGCCCAAGGTCTGCCAGGGACGCCTGGCGCGCCAGATGCGCCACGTGCTACACGTGCACTACGCTCTAGGCGATGCTTAAGAAAACCCAAGTTTTCGGCCAGAGTCTCGATTATTCTTAATGTTTCAATGTGAATCCCAAGATTTGAATAGACATTCTGGGTTTTCATTCAGATTCTGAGACTATGAATTTCTTAACCCATGATTTCTAAAGCATTTCGCAGGGTGTATGTGTGCCGCGTGGTCTAGCCGCGCCAGGTGCGCCACGTTCGGGACGCGCGCGCAGCGTGTGCCAGGTGCGCCCGCGCACGTGGCAGCACATCGGGGACACATGTCGGCCCCCACGACCCTGTCGAACAGTGCGCAAGAGCGGTGGGGAGACCGTCATGATGTCTGGTGGGCCTGCGCACAGCAGGGAACGTGCCATCATCCCCGCCGTCCTTATCAAACATCAAAAACCAATGGGCACTGATCGCTGGGTGGCCGCGCGCGGTCCAAATTTAGCCGCGAAGTGGACTTTCTATTTTTCGCATGGATGGAGGCCCTGCGCGCAGCAGGCAATATGAGCCCCCCACCGCCCCTTTCAACAAACAATACAAAGTGCTCACGTGACCCACGAGCATGACGCAATTTGCTACCCCTAAAGTGTATTCTGTATTGTTTGTGACAGGTTTGATGGGGGGAGGCGTTGGCGTTGGTCTTGGTTGGCTGCTGGTCGCTTGGCGGAGGGGTGTTAGTTCATAGAAGAAGGAACTCCCTAGACCACTCACGCCCTAAAGAGCTGGTGGGATTTGGCACTGGGCGGCTCATTGACTCCTTAATCAGGCGGAAGGGCCCTCATTCGTTCTCACGGAAGCCTCATGGGATTTGCTTCCCAATTTGGGCAGCAGCTTGACTGTCTGGGGCTAGCCGTGTGCACGGCGAGCGCCGTCCTCAGTGCACCCCTGGCGGAGAGGCGGACGAACAGCTGCAGGCAGAGGAGGCGGAGCTGGAGGCCGCTGCCGAGGAGGAGGAGGAGGAGGAGGAGGCCGCTGTCGAGGAGGAGGCCGGCGTCGAGGGTGCCGAGGGTGCCGAGGGCGAGGAGGAGCCCGAGATCGAGGAGGACCCCGACGAGTTCGCCGCAGTTGCGGAGGCGCCTCCTGTCATCGTCATCTTCGCTGTTTTGGTGGTGGTCGTGGTCGTGGTCGTCGGCGTCGGCATCGTCGTCGCCATCGTCGTCATCTGCGGTGTCGTCGTCCTCCCTCTGCCCTCTTCCTTCCTCCCCGTCACTTGGGGGGACCCCAAGGGCGTTGGGGTTATGGCCCTGGGTCCTGAGCAGCGAACAAAGCCACCTCTGGGACATAGCCACCTGCAGGACTGGCCCCGTGGCACTCCGCCTCGGAGTGTTTCTTCGCATTCGGAATCCCAGTGCCTGCAGGGGCGGCCTGGCAGGGGCAGGGGCAGGGGCTGGGCATCGCTCGGACGTGTGCATTTTTTCTCGGCGAGAACCATCGAGGACCAACCTGGACCATCGAGCAAGAAAAAACACGCACGAAACCGAGCAAATGCACGGGAAATGGACGTCCGAGCGATGGCAAGGGGGCGAGGGAACGGGGGAGCGGGGGGCGGAGGGCGGCGGTCGGTCGGGGCCGTCGCGCGGGCAGGCGTGGCGATCGACGCGGGGGCCGCGGTGGCCCTCGGCCTGGCCCCGGAATTCCCCCCCCGGGCCGAAATCCCTCCCAAAGCGGATCGATACGTCGGATCGACGATCGAAGTGGATCGGACCGGCGGAAGCCGACCGCCGAGGCGGGAGGAGGCGCCTCGGCTGACATCGGCAGGGCCTGTAATTGGGCCTCCGTGGAGAGCTCGGGAGCTGCCTCGGGGCCCCGAGCCGACTCGAGTCGAGATCGGAAGCCAGATCGAGGCCGCACCGAATCGGGCCGGAGGAATCGAGACGAGCCGCCCCGCCTCGTGGAGGCGCCCGCGGCGCCCGCCCCCGCGGCGGCCGCCCCCGCGGCGGCCGCCCCCGCGCGGGCGGCCCCCGCGGCGGCCGCCCCCGCGGCGGCCGCCCCCGCAGCGGCCGCCCCCGCGGCGCGCCCGGCGGGCGCCGCCCCGCGGGGCGCGCCGGGCTGCCCGGGGTACCTCTTCGTGTGCACGGCGGCCACGCAGGCCGAGTGCCTGGAGTCCAGGCCGCCAGCGGGCAGCGAGGTCTAAGTCGGGCCTGTCCCCCCACAGGGGGAGTTTCGACGAAGGATCGAGAATACCCCCCAAATAGTCATAACATAGTCTAAACATAGTCTAAACATAGTCCAGGTATCTGTTTTGCGTATTTTTTGACCTTCTTGGAGTATTTTTGGGGTACTTTTTATTTTTCGTCGAGAATCCCCCTGTAGAGGGACACGCCCGACGCAAAGCAAGATCGGGGGTGGACAGACCTCCTACCCTGACACGTCGATTCAAGAATTGGCCGTTTTCGGTTCGCGAGAGGGCGTCGCGGCCGTCCTTTTTGCGGGTCCAGGTCCGTCGGTTTCGGTCCCAGGCCGTTTTCACTAAGGGGAGGTCTACTAAAGGCAGGTTTGTCCACCGCCGACAAGAGGGGAAGGATCAATGACCTGAGCATAAAAGCTCGCAGGTCCGCGCGGATTTCTCGGATCGGCGCTGGACCGCCCTGGCGGCGCCTCCGGCGCCGCCCCTGGCGCGCTCCGCGCGCCAGAGGGGGGGGGATCCAGCGCCGATCCAAGAAATCCGCGCGGACCTCCGAGTCTTTATGCTCATGTAATTCTTCGTTCCCCGAACCCAGCAGTGGCGAGGCGTCGTGGCCTGCCTGATAGGCCCACCGAAGCATGTTCCAATGACCTTGCGAGCTGTGCTCAGGGCATTCCTGGCTGGGGCGGTCGTGTTTCGATGCGCTGCCTTCTGGAACCCGTCGTGGTGGGCCTGCAGGAATGCCCGGACGGTCGGCACCTGCTCAGGGGCAGGGCCCACCTCGACATCCTCCGATGCGATCCGATTTCGATGGCCTCCGACGCCGACTCCGATTCGACTCGGGATCCCGATGTGGATTCTCCGATTTCGCAGCGGAGGCCGTGCTGGCCCGTCGATTTCGATGGCTTCCGATTCCGATCCGATGCGGCCTGGGATCCCGATTCGGGTTCGGATTCCTGAGTGGAGGCCTCACTGGCCTGCCGCTTGCCGCCGATGCGACTCCTCCCGACTTGGCTGCCCATTTCCGCCGATCCGATTCGTTTCGATCGCCGATCCGACTTTTGCCGATTCGTCCCAAAGCATCAGACCTTCAAGTATCCTCCTCCTCCTGCTGCTCCTCCTCCTCCTCCTCCTCCTCCTCCTCCTCCTCTATGTTCTTCGTCTTTCCACTTGCGGCGTTTTGTGGGTCTTGCATGTTTCGCCACTCTGTGATCGCCTTCTCTTCTTTGCCTACCACCGCGCTGCCAGGGCGCGTCTTTTCGTTTTCGTTCTCTTCTTCTTCTGCTTCCCCCCACCGCACCTCGGGCCCGAGCAGCAAAGGGCCTCCAGAGACTGCTTTTCTGGCAGGTGCGGGGCGCGTTGTTCCTCCGTGCCGGCCCCCTGGGGCTCCTCGGGCCCTCGGAGCCATCCAAGGTGGCTCCAGGACTTTGGACGCCCGAAATGGGTACGGAAAGAATGGGTACGATGCCCAACTACAAATGTTGTCCCAATCCAACAGCGGCCGCTGTTGGGCAGGCGGCCTTCTGTCTCGAATGGACACAGGCCGCGGCGGGGCGGACAGCGAGTCCTGTTCAAAATGAACAGGAACTGCTGTTGGGCATCGTACCCATTCTTTCCGTACCCATTTCGGGCGGCCAAGAGGACGCAAGGCTTCTCCCAGGCAAGGTGTCGAGAGCTCGGGGGCCGCGGATTGAAAAGTGCATGCCGGAGGATGTCTGGGGACATCAGGGTTTCTGACCTGGGTCAACGCAGAGCTACAAGCTTGTTGTTCCACAGCGTGGCTCCCCAGAGGTCCATGCACTTCCAGGCGGCCGGCTTTTCGGCCCGAGTCGGTTTGGCTGTCCTGGGGGCGGGCCGGGGCCACCGCCGTGTGTTTTGGTGATGCGGTGATGTCTGAGGTATAGGAGGGTCGAGAATCCCGTCGGAGAAGAACGAACACGGCGTCAGCGACCGTTCGGAGGTCCGCGCGGGTTTCCTGGATCGACGCTGGGCATGTGCCCCTCGGGATTGTCTTGGGGGCCTCTTGGGAGCCTCCTGGGGGCCTCTCGGGGCCGTCTGGGGGGTCTCTCGCGGGCCTCTTGGGGGCATGCCGGCTGCCTCGGGGGTCGTCTTAGGTGGTCCCCCTCTTGGGTTCCTCTCGGGGGCATCGTGGGCCGTCTCGGACGCTGTTGAGACTGAAGAGGCAAGTGCGCGAACATCATGCAGACACGTTGCGTAGGCGCTTCAGCGATTTTGAGAGAGCTCGAGCGGGCCTGAGGACACTCCACCTCGTGCTTCTGGGCATTCTCCCTCAATCAGTCTTGGCACGGAGGAGCTCCCTGGTTGCGGAGTTCTGGCCGCCGCCGCTGTGGACTTCTGGCCGCTGCTCGTGGGCATGTGGCGTCGCTCTGATTCATAGGCTCTTGCGCTGGGTTCCGCACGCACAGGGCTCCGCACACCAGGCTTCACAAGGCTCCACAAGGCTGCTTCGGGCCCGCTCGCCGGAACACAGTGCACCTCCCTTGTCGGGACGTGGAGGGGGCCAGTGCACCGATCTCCCTCTGCCCCCCGCAGGCTGTTCGGCGCGCTCGACTGGGAAATGGGCCAGATGCAGAAGTGCATCGTGGCTGGCACGGAGCTGTTCCTGCACAACTCGGAGACGCAGGCCCTCCTCGGGCCCTTCGCCGCTGCCGGCGTGCCCGCCAAGGCCATCGTGAAGGGCGCCTTCGGCGGCCGCCTGAGCTCGCAGGTGCGGGTTGTGCAGGGCAGCGCCCCGCCCCGTGAGGCGAAGGTGGAGGGCAAGCTGCGGGCGGGGCCGCAGATGCCCGCGGCCGTGGAGCGGTTCCGGGCGCAGCTCGGCAGCGGGGCGCCCCTCGCGTCCTGGAGCTCCGCCGCCAGCGGAGCCGCCGGCAGCGGCGCCGCCGCTGGGTCGGCAGCGGTGCCGCCGCGGGCGGCGGCGGCGGCTGCGCGGACCACGGCCGCGCGGCCTCCGTCCGACGCGCGCGCCGCGGGGGCCGCGGCGGCCCCTGGCTCTGCCGCCGCGGCGCGGGCGAAGGCAGGGCGCGCCCCGGCTGCTGAGCTGGCCGCGCTTCCCGCCGCGTCGGGCAGCCCAGCGTGCTCTGCGTACCTCTTCGTCTGCAGCGCGGCGACCCACAGCGAGTGCCTGTCGCTCAAGCTCCTGGGCGCCCCCGACTGGGACCTCGGGCAGATGCAGAGGTCCATCTCTCCGGGCATGGAGCTCTTCCTCTTCAACCTGGAGAGCATGGTGCTCATGGGCCCCTTCGTGGCAGCCTGCGCGCCCGCCCCGGGCCTGCTCCCCAGCGCCTTCGGGGGGAAGTTCCGGTCGCAGGTGAAGATCGCGCAGGCCGGCGCCCCGCCCCGCGAGGTGCGGCTGGAGGCGAAGCAGCGCAGCGGGCCGCTGCCCGCCGAGAGGGCCGAGGCCCTGCGGGCGGCGCTGCGCAGCGGGGGCCGGGCCATCGCGGCCTGGCGTGCCGAGCCGGCCGGCGCGGCGGCTGCCGCGGCCGCCGCGGCGAAGCCGGCGCAGGCCGGCGCCGGCGCCGCCGCCGCAGCGCCAGCGCGGGCCAGCGTCGGCGCCAGCGCCGCAGCGGCTGCCGCCGCTGCGGCGAAGCCGCCGCGGGCCGGCGCCGGCGCCGGCGCCGCAGCGCGGCCGCGCCAGCGCGGCCCAGCGCCGCAGCGGCTGCCGCCGCTGCGGCGAGGTCGCCGCGCGCCGGCGCCGGCGCCGGCGCCGCAGCGGCCGCCGCAGCCGCGCCGCCGGGGGCCAAGGCCGAGGGCGCCCCCTGTGCGGGGGCGGCAGACCTGCAGGCCGCCGCGGGGGCGAAGAGCTGCGGTAGCAAATCATGGGAGCCTGGTATGATGGGCTCGTTTTCCACCACCACCACCATGAGTTGGAGGGGGAGGGGGTCCTCCACCTCCTCCTCTTCGTCCTCCTCCTTCTTGTCGTCCTCCTCCTTTCCCCCTCCAACTTGTGGTGGTGGTGGTGGAAAACAGGCCCATCATGGTATAATTCAGAGCGTGAATTACCTACCCCGCTTTCGCTTCCAGGGAAAACCAAGTCGTACCACGCACCTCCTCGTCAAGCGGCCTGACCAGTACAGGCCGTAGTTTGGCATCGCTTGGTATCTCTTGGAAGCGAGGGTGGTCAAAAGCGAGGTAGGTTTGTTTTCCCCATAATAATTGCCCTTTTCATCATGTCTTCAGCGTCGACTAGCGTCGACTAGCGTCTGGGCGTGGATGAGATAGCGCCGACCTAGGTCAATTAGTGTCGATCAGCGTCGATTTAGCGTCGACTAGCGTCGAATCGCAAGAGCAGACAAGATGGTATGGGAGGCTCCCGGCTCCCTTGAGTTGCCACCGAAAGAGCGATCGATGAGCCCGTGCGATATCTCCATGCCGGCGCCGCAGGCGCATCGGCGAGGCTTCGCTGGAGTGACCTTCGGTGCGGGCCCACCCTTAGCATCCTCGCGCTGTCAGACATCAAACCACTGCGGCAGAAGATCCCAAATAGTGCTTCACAGTTGCGATGGGGCCACGATGGGAGGGAACAGGGAATAGGGATCGGGATAGGGATACTTACGGGGATATAGGGCTGATGATGTACGGATACAGGGACAGGGATAGGGATCTGGGATGGGATGGGGAAGGGGATGGGGATGTAGGATAGGGGTAAGAATACAGTGACCAGGGCCAGGGATGGGGATTGAGTTAGAGTTAGAGGGACAGGGCTAAGGATCGTGACAGGGGCGGCAATGGGAGGGCACAGGGGGCAACGGGATGCCATGTGAGGCTATGAGCAGCAACGGGATGCCACGCCGCCCGACCGATTCCAGATCCGACAGTCCACCTATTCTGGACATTTCGCGTAATCCCACCAGCCCATCCAGAGACAATGCCCAGATGAGTTGACCTGATCAGGGATGTGAAGGAGCATGCAGTGGAATAGAGGCTGGGTAAGACGTCGTACCCTCAAGAGGGGGAGGATGGAGTCGGAGGAAGCGGATGAGGAGGCGGAGGAGGAGGAAGAGGAGGCGGAGGAGGATGAGGAGGAGGCGGATGGGAAGACGACAAATAAGGCTAACCATACTAATACGAATTCTGATAAGAATATTCCGAATCATACTAAGACGAATAGTAATGATACGACGAAGCAAAAGGCGACTCATACTACTGAGACGACTCAGAATATTACTACGACGACGAATAATAATACTACGCATATACATGCTACAAATAAAACGAATCCTGCTACACATACTAAGAATAAGACGAACACAACACATACCAATACTAACAATACTGATATTACGGATAAACAGAGTACTACACATAAGAAGACTACGCAAATTACTCATCATAAGAAGATGCTACGACGAGTAGTACTCATACTACGACTACGGCTAAGGATAATGATATTACGATTGCGAGTAATACAGCGCATTATTACTGAGTAGTACGAATGCTCGTACGACGAATGCCAATCTTTTCAACACGAATGCTGTCATACGTATTGCTAGTAGCACTGCGATTCCTAATGCTACAAGTAAGTCTGTTCATACTACTATCACTACAACAACAACAACAACTACTACTACTACTACTACTACTACTACTAGTGCAACAAGTACTACTACTACTACCACCACTACTAATACTACTGCTACTACTACTACTACTGCTGCTACTACTACTACTCCTAGTAGTTCGCATACTACTACTGCTACTATTATTACTACTAATACTACTACTACTACTACTACTACTACTACTACTACTACTACTACTACGACTACTATTACTGCTACTACTTCTGCTACTACTGCTGTTGCTACTACTACTACTACTACTACTACTACTACTACTACAACTATATTACTACTACTACTACTGCTGCTGCCCTTACGACGACGACGACGACGACTACTACTACTACTACTACTATTACTCTTATTACTACTACTACAACTATATTACTACTACTACTACTGCTGCTGCTGCTGCTGCTACCACCACTACTACTAGTAATAGTAGCGAGCGAATCGTACTACTACTACTACTACTCCTCCTACTACTACTACTACTACTACTACTACTGGTACTACTACTACTACTACTACTACTACTACCTCTGTTATTATTACTACGACTGTTACTACTACGACGACGACTACTACTACTCCTCCTTCTACGACTAGTACGACTGATACTACTACTACTACTACTACTACTACTACTACTACTACTACTGGTACTACTACTACTACTACTACTACAAATACTACTACTGCTGCTGCTACTACTACTACGACGACTACTACTACCACTACTACTACTACTACTACTACTACTACTACTACAACTACTACTACTGCTACGACTACGACTACGACTACGACTACGACTACGACTAAGACTACTACTACTATTACTACGACTCTTACACCTACTACTACTACTACTACTACTACTACGACTACTACTACTACGACTACTACTACTACTACTACTACTACTTCTACTTCTACTAGTACTACTATGACCATTAATCGCCGGCATAATTACGAAGACTGGTAATGCTACTAATAATCTCATGCTACACACAGTAGTATAATATCACTACGAATGCACAGCGACATAATCAGAACCCGAATGGGATGCTGATGATGCTGATGATACTGATGCTGATGCTGATGCTGATGATGATGATGATGATGATGATGATGACGATGCTGATGATGATGATGATGATGACGATGATGATGCTGCTGATGATGATGATGGTGATGATGAGGATGATGATGCTGATGCTGATGATGATGCTGCTGCTGATGATGATGATGCTGATGATGATGATTGTGATGATTTTGATGACAATGATGATGATGATGATGATGATGCTGATGCTGATGCTGATGATGATGATGATGATGATGATGATGATGATGATGCTGATGATGATGATGATGATGATGATGCTGATGATGATGATGATGATGATGATGATGATGATGATGATGATGATGATGATGATGATGCTGATGATGATGATGATGAGGCGGAGGAAGAGGAGGAGGAACACAGAAAGCGGAGGAGGAGCGCAGGAAGACGAGGAGGAGGAGGAGGAAGAGGAGGCGGAGGATGAGGAGGAAGAGGAGGGGGAGGCGGAGGCGGAGGCGGAGGAGGAGGAGAAGGAGGAGACAGGAGGAGGAGGAGGAGGAGGAGGAATGCTATGGGAATGCTATGAGAGCGGACCTCTGTCCTGCAAACCACACAAATTTACCCTCATATGGGGTTAGTCTGAACTGTCTGAATCGCCTCCTCCTCCCACCGCCCCAAAAGATAAAAGGGGCGGCTCCCGTCGTAGAGCCTGTGCAATCCGACGTGGCGCAGCTCTCTCCTGGGCGGCGGACCTTGCCTCCGCTGGGACGGGCGGTGGGGGAGGGGCGGGGGAGGGGCCCCCTGGCGCTTCACCCACGCTCGAACGACCAACGTGAGACGACACCACCCTCTCACGATCACGCGCCGCCATAGCCTCAACAACGGCTTGGGGGGGCCCCTCCCTCCTGGGATATATACCCTTGCGAATTCGAGTGAGGTTCTCGGTCCCCTTGGGGGTCAGTCCCTCACATCGCTTACTGATATGTCTACCATCTACCGTAGCGAAGCGACCACATTTGCTGCAGGCATGCATGAACCACTTGTCCACATAAAACATGGCATGAGTTTCGTGAAACTCAAACGCCCCCGCAACGAACCTTCTGGGGGCCTGAATCACATCTGGGGGCCTCAGTCCCTCTGGGATGGCCCTGCCTGCACAAGGGGTGGCCGCAAACTTGAGCAGTCGAGAGCCTGGCACCACCTGATCACACACAGCACACCTCCAACCCGTGCCCGACTTCTCAAGGCGGTGGGCCGACTCTCGAACTGCTACCGCACACTTGTTAGCTGGGGGTCGCTTCACGACCTCCTGCCTTCCATTCTTCGCTTGGACTTCTGCACTCGCTGAGTCGGCCAACGCTCGTCTCGCGCGCCGCCGCACTAAACTGGCAATGGCATCAATTCTATCTGTCTGCGGGTTATCCCCAACCAAACCGAACTCCCAAGCCAGCTCCGCCCCCTCTCCCGCCCATATATCAGCTACCGCATTTCCAACCGCAGTCTCTAACTGCAGCTCGGTAATCAGCAGCTCAGGGGATTCATCCGTGTGAGAGGGTGTCCACTGCACTTCGACAGTGGCGGTATCTGGCCTGGAACTCCAGGACACACGGGCCCTGGTCCACAAATCTTCATTAGCCCCTGTCGGGCTCGGGTTCTCCATTTTAAAACGCCACTTCTTTGCGACCGACAAGTGGTCTGTTACAAAAACGAACGGCCCAGGGATCTCTTCTAAAGCCAAACAAAACGCCTGGATCTCGGAGCGCGGGACGGTTTGGCGGGCTCCGAGCAGGGGACGGGCCAACGCCGCCTGGACTATCCATTCGCCCTGGGACCACCTCAGGGAGCAGATAGAAGAACCGCATCTCCTTCGTCTGGGGTCGTCCGAAAATCGCCCCCCCCGAGCCGTCGCCGTAAACCTTTAAAACCCCGTCGCTTCCTCGAGAGGCCTCAAAGTCCCCCTCCCCGCCCAGCCTAAGCTCCCGCCCCTCCAGCCGCCCATCGTCAAAGAGGGGGTGAGTGAGGCGAGTAGGGGGGAGACCACGGAGCCATAAAGCTGGCTCAGCTTCTGCTTGTGCTAATGCCGCAGCTGCCAAAGGCTCAGTTTTGCTATAATCGCTGTGATCAGTGTTCCTGGAGCATTCCCATATTCTATGTTTTAAGCTCTCAGGGGCTTGCTTACATCTCGGGCAATCGACTGTTACTTCATATCCTTTTTCCCTGCAGCGGACTCTCGGCCACTGGCCGCCAGCGACCACCGTCACGTTGAGCGCCAGCTGATCTAGCATCCCCTTGCGCTCGAACCTCCGCTGCTCCATTACTATGGGCCACAGGTCTCCGCCCTCCTGCAAGTTGTCACCAAACTCGTGCTTGGCAGCCTCCGTCCAGAGGTCCCTGCGCAGGTCGCCCTCCAGGTCGTCCAGGAGCTCCTGGAAGCAGCCCGTGGCCACGAACTTGCCGTCCTCGGAGGTCGGCAGCTCCCACATCTCCAACTCATCAGGTCCAGGTCGATGCCATTGAGTGGCTGTCGAAGGTGTCCATCCAGCATCCATTAGCGTTGCCATCAAAGCTCCTGTGGGGCCCCGTACAGCTCGCCATCTCTTGTCGCCATATCTGTGGAGACGCGCCTTGATGAACGGCCATGCTTTCGCAACTCGTCGATGGATGTGGGGAAACTTCTGCCAAAGGCCTATCCACTCTCGTACCACACCCAGTCTGAGATCAACAGCGGGGTCTCTCAGGCCCAGCTCCATGCCCAGCGTGGTCGTCAGACATCGACCT